GCCAGCTGAATGTCATTCGTTTCAGGGGCACCCGTGGTGGCCCGGGCAGGGCTGGGGGAATCCTCCTGCAGCCTCTGCCAGCAAAAACAGAACTTGGGAGGGCTGTTTTTGCTGGCAGAAGCACCGTGGGCCAGTCTTTCTCTGTTTCCAGGGTGGCCCCATGGGCCAGATCTAAGTACCTTGTATCGACAGCCCTGCACTAGATGATTTTTGAGCCCATTACACCTCTTCATTCCAAGCAATGTTATTGAGTTATTTGGGGGATAAAATTGGAAGAAGGACTCCTGCAACAGTCTTTAAATTCCAAGAAATTTGGGCGAACAAAAGTCTTGGTACCAGGGGGTTAAATTCTTTTCTTTTTCTTTTTTGGCAATACTAGAATTGTGACTAAGTTCACCCGGGCTGGGACTGCCACAAAAACTTGAAAGGTGACATTTTATAGCCGTGTTTTCCCACTCCCATGGAAAAGACTGCAAGCAGCATTTAATGTGCCCTTTGCCCGTGGGACTTGGGTTCTTTCCGCAAGTGGTAATTAGTGCCAGGCCGCAGAAGGTTTGTGATTTAAAAATAATGAAGGGCAAGTAAAGAAGAAGTTCCCAAAGTTATGCCCGAGTGAAGTGAAAAAAATTGGTTTGGAAAAGGATTTAGAGAAATGCAGAAATATAGGTAGTCCTCAGCTTACGACCACAATTGTGCCCTAAATTTATGTTGCTAAACAAGACATTACAGGCATAGAGAGGGAGAGAAAGAGAGAAATATAGTAGGTAGGGAGGGAGAGTAGTTAGTTAGTTAGTTAGTTAGTTAGTTAGTTAGGTAGGTAGGTAGGTAGGTAGGTAGATAAAGGGTTAGAGAGAAAGAAATACAGTAGGGAGGTAGGGAGAGAGAGAGGATGTAGGAAGGTAGAGGGATAGAGAAATACAGTAGTTAGGTAGGGGAGAGAGACTAGGTAGGTAGGTAGCTAGAGGGATAGAGAGAGAAATACAGTAGTTAGGTAGGGGGAGAGAGACTAGGTAGGTAGCTAGAGGGATAGAGAGAGAGAGAGAGAGAGAGAGAGAGAGAGAAATACAGTAGGTAGGTAGGGAGAAGAGAGTAGGTAGGTAGGTAGATGTTTCTAGGTGTGTTTATCCATGTGCTGGAGAAGGAAATCGCTGACAATCTGCAGCACCTAAGACTTGTTTCTGCTGGAACAGCACTTGATCAATCTAATTCTCATCAATCACTCCAACTAAAGAGCTTTCCGAAAGTAAAAAGAAAAAGTTTTTGCACTCCGCAAACCTCCCAAAAATGGCTTGTTTTTCACGAAAAGGTGCCTGTTTTATTTTTTAAAAAAATGCATGAATAGGCTTTGGGGCCTTGCAGCCTTGGGAGGGTAAGGGGGCCAAAAATGAGCAAGAAAAGGCCTGTTTTTCACAAGAACGGGCCCGCATGCATAGCCTTATCGAGGCTTATAGAGTGCTGCTGGGGGCTGGGTGGGGCAAAAAATGGCCCATTTTTTGCTCATTTCTGCCCTCCCCAGCCCCCAGAAGCTCTGGTTTGGTAACGGTGGTAAACATGAAAAATGGTAATAAGTTACCTTTTTCAGTGCCCTTTTAACTTCGAACAGTCACTATAGGAGCTGCTGTAAGTCAAGGATGGGTGTTGGCAACCCGCGGCTCCGGAACTGCATGTGGCAACTCTTTTGTTCCCCTGCTGTGGCTCCCTCAGCTGAACCCACCACTGGCTGGCCCTGCCCCTCGCCCTCCTCTTCCAGTCACTCCACGTCTGGCTTGAAATGAGAGAGTGAAATAGATAGATGATAGATAGATAGATAGATAGATAGATAGATAGATAGATAGATAGATAGATAGATAGATAGATAGATAGATAGATAGTTGATGGGAGAGAGAGGGAGAGAGAGAGACGTTTTCCACAGAAAACACTGGGAGCCACAAAACCTGGGTAGGTGCTGGGTAGGCGTGGCTATGGGGGGGGGGTTTCATGTGACTGGTATTTCAAAGTCTTTCAAGGGGGATTTACAGTCACAGACCTTATCTGGTTTGGAGAGCTGCCAGCCTGATAGCTGCAAATCTCGGCAAGGAGTATTGGAGAGTCCCGAACCAATTAAGCGAACTAATTGTCTCCTGCAAACTCCACTCCCCTTTTGCTGCTCTTCTATTTCCTCTGGAAGGGCCATTCATCATCCACCTGTGGCCTTATCCCAAGTCGACCCCTGTTTTTTAGCTCTTCCCATTGTCGGGCAACTCTGTGCATGCGCACACTGGGAACAGGCTCCAGCTGTTTGTCTGCCTCACTGATGTCTGACTCCGAAGGCAGCTGATAACTGTCAGACAGCCCTGGCCCCATCTCTGTGTCTGACACAGAGCCCTCCTCAGAGCCTTCCCCAGACTCCAGGACTGGCCCATGTTCTTCCCCAACCTCCTCACTGTCTGAACCTGCTGCCACAACAGGAATGGAAGGGTTTATACTCCTTACAATGACCAGCTGTCTCTCGAAAAAAGCTCCTTTGGGACAACCCTGTACATTTCTTGACAACAGAATGGAAATGGTTGACCAGTCTTCTTCCACACTAGTTCCACCCGCCACCCCGCACCCAAAAAGTGAGTCTATCTTTGTGATCTTCTGGTAGCCTCTCATCCAAGGACTAATCCCATCCTACTTTGCTTTGCGGCAAAAATTAGGGTGGTGACCTGGAACCTTTTGTGGCAGTTTGGCTGGCTAAAAAGAATGGCTCAATTGTACGGGTTTCAGACTGTATTTATTTTAGAAACGCAGAAGGCTGCTTGGTTCTACAATGTAGAATTTGTATGCAGTTGGAGCACAGAGACAGATTCATTCCAGCAAATGGCCTCAGCCCTTTGGCAGATATCAAGTAGAGCATCCGTTCTTACCAGTTCAATATGCCAAATCTTGTTCAATCCCACCAGTGACTGAGAATCGGTGTAACTGCTCTCTCTGTCCATTCATTTGATTTCAATTTTGCAAACAAAGCCTGTGAAAGTTGGGGAACATTCAGAGATGCTACTGAGATGGATCTCTGCTTTAACTGACCATCGTTAATCAACCACCAATCACAAGATATTATTCTGTCTGACTTCTATTTTTTTTTACTATTATTATATGCTTTAATATGTATTAATTGTTGGTCATTCAGTGTTAGACCAATTATACACAATGTTCGTTGGCATCGCTGAAAATCTGCTACCTTCTTGGCATCATCGTCGTTACCTGGATTCCAAGCAGTTACATCCAGTGGATTCTGTACAGCATCTCATAAACCTTCCCTACGCAGGAGTAGACTGCATTTCATAGATCAGGAAACACAAATTGTTCCATCTAACTGGGTTATCATAGGCAGGCTTGTTGATGGGTCACTCGCCATCTTTTCCAGGACAGTAACAATCACTAAATAAACAGCTATCTGTACGCGGTATTGCGTATCAACACCAACTCTCCTTTAGCTACATCTGGTATACTCTGGGCGCATAACCAGTGTTAAGTAAGTCCCCGTTGGGAGAGCGAGTACGTTCAGCGAAGCGTTGTGAGAGTTGTGTTGGAGAACACACAAACCAGCATACAGAGACACTGCAGTTTAAATAGGCTTTTACTTTCGTATCAGAGTCCATCAAACAGTCCAAGTCATACATGGATAAGACAATCAGTTATCAACGTCTCAGTAAAGGGATAATCCAAATAACATAGTCCATAATCATACAAACAGTCTGGTACTCAAAAGTTTGCTAGCAGTTGGAGGAAGAAGGCGGGGCTTAGCAGTGAGAAGACGGACTTTCAGGCAGTTCCTGAGAGACCATCTAACCGGGTCATTTGGATGATTCTTTTTGGATCTAAGCTGTCCCGGAGAGACAGTGAAAGTGGAGGGAACTCCAGTGGTCCCAGAGATGTTTGCAAAATCTCTGGGAACC